TTATTTCTCTAGGGCTGTCCATGTCGCATTCATAGCACAAAGAATGTTTTGTGTGTATGCGTGTTGTGTGTTTAGATATTTTGATGTCTCTAAAGTCGCGTCATTTGGTAATTTGTGTTATTGGCTTTCTGTGTTCTGTTTCTCTGTTTCTCTGTTTCTCTGTTTCTCTGTCAAATCCCACATCTTCAGTTCTGAATGAAATTAGTCCCTAATAACATTCAGTTGAGAGTAAATTTCGAATTAGGACGTTTTGTCAGAGCAAATTTAAAACTTCCTATTCTGTTTGTTCCAATAAACACATCATCATCATCATCATGCAGCAGGTCCTTTGCAGAACGTCGCTCTCATGACAGTCTGCATGAAAGAAACTCGGTCTGTCGCCAGTCATCCCCCGACTACCGCGTACTTTCACATTCAAGGAGACACTTACATCCAGTGCCCATCTTCGTATTGGTAAGCCCATGCCCCTCCTTCTTGGTACTATGCCTTCTGCTATTATTTTTTCCAATCCTTTACAGCATTTGGTATGTCCAAAATATTTCAGCTTATGCAACAAGATACAGTTTTTTAACTAATCTTCCTTGATGTTCAGATCTTTTAAAATGTTGGCATTTCTCTTCCTGTTTGTCCCTGATATTCTGAGAATCTTTCTACACCATTTCAGCTTGAAAGCATATATTTATCTTTTTTAAGCCCTGGGAGATAGTCCATGACTCACATGCCGCATGTTGCAACAGGGAAAAAAATTAAACATACACACCATTACTAGGCGTAGGAATCAAGCTTAAAAACATTCAATGACTATGGACACTAGGAACTATATATTATGTTTAAACTGCTTTGTTTGAGTTTATTTTCTATTTAAAGCCAACAGCGGTTTGAAATAATATGGTTTAACCAAAATATATGAACGGGCAATATGACATTGTTTACGGAATTTGAACAAATAATTCATATACAAATTAAAAGTTGAAAAAAAAAAAATAACAAACGCTCAGTCATTCTCTATGGTGTTAAATCCTCCTCCTCCTCATCATATTAAGCAGGTTCTTTCTCTTCCCCCCCCCCCCCACCCCCCCCCCCCCCCCTCCCCCCCCCCCACCCCCCCCCACCCCCCCCCCCCCCCCCCCCCCCCCCCCCACCTTTTCCCCCCACAGCTTTTCTGAAGGTCACAACATGTTCCACTTTATTCTTCTCATACTATGATGACTTCAAAAAATGACGACTGTCTTTTTCTGATATTTATGATTAGTTTTCTTTGGCCCGACATTTTTGTTGTCCAAGGATTCTTTTTGGAAATTTCTGTAAAAATATGAGACCTAAAGAAAATGTATGGCTTCTTTATTAACTGTCGCGGACTGTCAAGCATTCTTGTTAAATAATCCAATTACATTGATTTATTTCATAAGATGTTAATAATTTTAATATAATGCGTTTTGTGTCTGCTCTATGTATGTCTAGGAATCTACTGCTTGCATTCTATTTTGACGCTTATTGGCAATATTTGTGAGTTATTTAGATATATGTCTGCCGGATAATAATAATAAAGTTATAGGCCCTTATATTGTAGCGTCTAGAAGTTCGCCTGCGGATTGTAAGGTCGTGGGTTCGGATCCTGACGGAGAAGTACGTTTTATTTTAGGAAAGAAAAAAAAAAACGGCTTGGCTTCCAGTTAGACCCAGCCTTCAATGGATACCAGTAAAATTCCTGGGAACCAAAGGCGGCCGGCGTGATGCTCATCATATTGGCTCTATATACCCAGTACGCCTGAAGACGTGGGAAAAAGTCGGTGACTTTAATAAAGTTTGTTGCTTATCTAGAACCAACTTTGGAGAACCAACTGCGGCATTTATTGGGTAGTTTAATGATTTCAATAAGCAGTTTTACGTTCAATAGTTTACGACTGCTCACTGAACGATAACACTGTAAAAACCAACATAAGACGGTCTGCTGCCAAATCACCCACAGTGGGATTCGAACCTATCACCTCAGAATCACCAAACGCAAACACAACTCCTAAACCACAAACGACTACATCTGAAACTAAACTCACAGCTGACTGACTGACTGACTTTATACCCCACCATGACATCACCCAAAGGACAAACACCCAAGGGACAAACACCCGGTGACACAAAGTGCAGCTATGCAGATGAGGATCACCCATGTAAAGTCCCAGAAACCCTGTTCAGCCATTAGGCCATATCTATGGCTAGGCCACATCTATATAAGCTACACCCTGGCTGCTGCCAGGGGCCCTAAATATAGCAAGGGGGTAGCTTCAAACAACAAAAAATTTCATCTTACAAGGGGATGACTACTACATCACAGCTATTGCCAGAGTGGGTGCAAAAGAGACGCAAACAAAGGAAACTGAATTCTAAGATACAAATATGCCAAACAGTCACTTAAAACAGATTTATGCAAAATTGTGTGTTCCTTCCTTATAGCCGTCTCAATATGCGACGCAATTTTATTGCGGGCCCTAACAGTTAAACGGGATTTCTGGTACTGGAGCCCAGGTTATTCTCATCCGAATGGTCGCACTTTGCGTCATCGGGTGTTTACCGCTCGTTTTCCGGAACTGGTGAGGCTGAACTTCATCATCTTATACATACAAGAAGACACGAAAATTCGCACAGAAGAGAATCCTTAAAAAAAGAAACAAATCATTCGGGAAAAAAAAAACAAAAACATTATAGAAAAAAAAGCCAGTTCGACCTGTGACCCCATACTCATGATTTAATAGACCAATCGGTACTCGACGGACATCACGATCCTGCCTGCCGCCTTTACTTTCCATGACATCATTGGCCTTAGTTAACCTTGAAACCACGGTCATACTTTTCTCAGTACGGCCGATGAGGCCTCAAAAAAGAGACACTGGGAGCGACACAAGTCTGTTTTGCTAAAAGCCACGGCCCATCCAAGACCGGCTCCAGCTGACGGGTCGTGCTGCTGACGTCATCGGGTCGGGATAACGATGCGTTAACGCCGCGGTTGTCAAACAAGAAAAACACTAGTTTCGACAATGGCAAGGAAAGACAACTTAAATTTTAACGTTAAAGAATCTTTATGGCTTCTTTACAAGTATTACAATTTTTAGCCAACTTGTCTTAATTAATTGCTGCAGCACCCCTGGCATACGCTCATGGCAGCCAAGGGTGCCTCGGTATCCAGTTTGAGAACCGCTGACTGAACGGATTGTTAGCCCGACTCGGTGACGTCAGCCGAAGCCGGTCGTGGCCCATCCCTACTGCGAATTAAAAAAATACAGAGGCAATAAGTTAACGTAAAGCAGACTTTATACGCTAATGTGGCAACCAGCTAATCATGCTAGTAAAGTAAAGTAAAGACCCCTTTTCACGCCTATCGGCGCATCGGGCAAATGGGCAGAGCGTCCCATATTTTTTATAGACCAATAAGCATTCGGTGGGCTACTGTGGTCAGCATTACGCCGGCTGTCTTTACTTTCCCAGGACAGCCATCCTGGTACCCATTTGAGGCTGGGCCGACCTGCGACGTCCAATACCACGATAAAAATCCACGCAGCCCGTAGTGGGTTTCGATCGCCGTACGTTGGATGACGAGTCGATCTCGCAAAGCCTTAGCCACGATCTCCTCCAGAATACCATGAAGAAAAGAAATACACACATCATAACAATTTGAGCATCGAGGAAAATTGACTAATAAACAGCATCGTGTCTCGGAAACTAAAGTATTTTGGCTTCAGCAAGCGCCACCCTGGTTTGGAAACAAAACAAGAACAAGGCATGATAATAGGAAAGAGGGTCAGATACCGACCATCGCGAAAATGGTATAAGTGAAAGTACTCGTGGCGGGAGAGCTGGCAACCCTAATGAGAGCGACATTCTGCAAAAGGGATATGCTGTATAGTGATAGACATAACTATTGGCATTAGCTGCCTACTATATAATTGGACAAAGAGCACGAAACGTATAATTAGGTAAAAGTAAACGACCTTTTTAACTGTCTATAAGCGTATTGAGCATATAGAGCAAATATAAATTTTATAGACCAATCAGCACTTAGTGGGTGATGTGGTCAGCATCACGCCGGCCGCCGTTTACTTCTCAGGACTATACAGGGTAATCACTCAAGGCTTTAAAAAAAAAAAAAAGTTTGGCCCCCGAAAGGACCCGAACCCACGACCTCACGAATCGTAGGCGGGCGTCTAGCTGTCACACCACGACGACTTCCGAAAGATGAAATTAGACATACATCTTTTTATAAATAGGCTTATAAGACTGAGACTCACATTTTAGGCTTTTGATGACCCTTTTTACGGGGAAAAAGAATAGACCCGCTTCCCTTAACAGGTTCGTAAAAGCTAACTAAATAGGTCTAATCAGGTGCATTAGGCCGAGAAACGCAGACATCACAGCCTGGTTGCAAAAGCAACACAACATGCCAGTTGCACTTTTAATGAACATGGCGAATAATAATAATAAATAGTAGCAATAATAATAACCAACAACAGCAGCAGAAAGAAGAACAAGGAGGGGGAGGAGAGTAAGAAGAAGACAAAGAAGAAGAAGAAGAAGAGAGAAGAAGAAAGAAGCCAAAGAAGAAGAAGAAGAAGAAGAAGAAGAAAAGAAGAAGAAGAAGAAGAAGAAGAAAGAAGAAGAAGAGAAGAAGACAAAGAAAAGAAGAAGAAGAAGAAGAAGAAGAAGAAGAAGAAGAAGAAAAGAAGAAGAAGAAGAAGAAGAAGAAGAAGAAGAAGAAGAAGAAGAAGAAGAAGAAGAAGAAGAAGAAGAAGAAGAAGAAGAAGAAGAAGAAGAAGAAGAAGAAGAAGAAAGAAGAAGAAGAAGAAGAAGAACGATGTATAAACAGGAAACACCCACACGTGAGTACACGTTTGCTAGTTGAAAAAAAAAATTAGAACCCCCTCACCCCCCCTACCCTCCCCCCCCCCCCCCCCCAAAAAAAAAAAGATACACATAGATGAAACTGAAACAAACAATTAGAGACAAGAAGACTACATATCCACCAGCGCCATGCCTGTTGCAGCCAGAATCACCCACACAAAGATGTTGCTGCCTGACATAGCTTGCCCACTGGACTCTGGTTTCAAATGGTTGACGGCCAGAGCGCTCTGTTTTCCCTCATTGAACACCTCTTGCATATGCTGCTTCAGCTGAGGAAGGTATTGGGTCCAGAAGTGTCGATAGTCAGCTCTCATGCGACTTTTAGTTTCTGGCTTGTCCGATAGCTCCATAAAATATTCATTGTTGTTGTCATACTCGCTCCATAGGGGAATAGCATTTGTTCCGCGAGGACTTGTAGTTGTAACAGCAGGACTTTCTTTGTTTGGGTTTCTGAAAGGGATCATTGACAAAGTAGTAGTACTAGTATATTAACATAATGATGTTACGTTTTAAATATAGTATGAATGAAGAAGAAAAATAAGTAGTAGTAGCAGCAGCAGTAGTGGCTTTTGTTGTTAGCTTTATTGCTGGTGTTGTGTTAATAGTAGCAGGAGTGGCAGTGGATACTAATAACAATAATAATAATAATAATAA